GCTACCAGAGCTCCTTTCATAGACAGCATCATACTTCACCATAAATTTTGGAACATCCTTTTTGACAACAAATGCAACATTTATCTTGAATTTCATGTTCCCGGCATAGTAAACCATGACTGTCTAGTTCAAAATGGCCAATACCAGTCAATTCAGCTCACGAATGCCTAGGATATCAATCTCTACGTGTTACATTTCATTTCTGACAACTTCCAATTTTCCTAGATCATACTTCATACGATCCACATTCCAATTATTAATGGATGAGTGCAAACATTTCTCATCATTTTTATGAGCAAATGTCCCATCAGTAAGTGAGGGTCCCGAAAGCTTGGCTCCATTCATATCATTATGGTCAACTGTACTTTGAGGAGGAGCTTACCTTCCAACAGTATGTATCTGATAATGTTTATTTGTATCTGATAATGTTCCACTGCTGTTCACAATGTTTCTGTCTTCTGGCACCATACCCAACAGTGTTCTACTGCTATTTATAAGGTGTTCAGTTCTAACCATTCACAAGTAGTCCACACTTCTTCTTCCTTGTCTTAGTCTGCAAGTTCTGCTGAAACCTGTCCAGCATGGGTGATGCTGCTGGTATTTAAAATATCGCTGGCATAGCTTCCAGTATCACAGCAACACCCAAGCCACTACAGTATTACAGACTGATAGATGAATGGTGGAACAATTCCACTACTCAGTATATACTCTAGAGAAATATGAACTGTGTTACAAATAGATATTTATGCATCCATGTTCATCACAGCACTATTCGCAATAGCAAAAAGATGGAAGCAACGTAAATGTCCAACAAGAGAAGAATGGATAAACTATGGTACATACACAGGATGGAATACTAGGCAATGTTACAGAACAGTAAGTCTATAAAACACCTCATTAACATGGGGGAACCAGGAGGCCATTATGCTGAATGAAATTAGTCAATCACAAAGGGATACATATTGTATGAGTCCACTATTATAAAAAGTCAAGAAAGTTTTTCACACTAAAAGAAACATTTTTTGTTGGCTACCAGGGGAGGGGTAAATTAGAATTAAAATTTCTGTTTAAGAAACATTTTTTTCTTAAAAAGACCTTTTGAATAGTTAACTTTTTAAAAGTTCAGTGTTGTAAGAGAAAATATCTATCCCTCTAGTCCACTGACTCCCAATCTTGAATGCACACTATCGTTGTTAAGTGCTGTTGAGTCGGTTCTGACTCATAGCAGCCCTGCATAGGGTTTCCAAGGAGTGGCTGGTGAATCTGAATTGCTGACCTTATGGATCAAACCGACCTTTCAGTCCAGTGCATTATCCCACAGTGCCACACCGGTCAGCTAGTAATCCAGCCCACACACTAGAAGCAAAGAAATCCCAATCTCTGGGGACAGACCCCTGGTATCAGTAGCTTCTGAAGCTCCTCAGTTTCCAGTATGCAGACCAGCTGGGAACCACAGCAGTAGTCAGAATTCACTGAGCTGAAATAAAACATTTATTTCCAATAAAAAAAACTAGAAGCTCCCATATCCCCAGTGTTGCCATTATACCCTCAATCGAAAGTTTTGTTTCTACACAGAATCATGTAAATAAATGCTTATGGCAGCATTACTCAAAATAACCAAAAAGTAAAACAAAATCACCAATGGATAAATGAAATGTGGTCTATACATACAATGGGAGTGCTGTGGCTTTGTAGGATAAGTACTGGACCGCTACCCACAAGGTGGATGGTTCGAGTCTACCAGCTAATCCACAAGGACTCTACAGCACTAACCCACAACATACAATAGAGTACTATTTAGCCATTAAAAGGAATTAAGTACCGGTGCATTCTATGTCTCAGATGATTCTTAAAGAAGAGTCACAAAAGAACAAATACTGTATGATTTCTTTTATATGATATATCCATAAGAGACAATTTTATAGACAGCAGATTAAAGGTTATCAAGGAGTGGAGGAGGAATGAATAGGGAGTAACTACTGAATGAGTTGTTGCTCTTGTTAGGTACTGTTGTATTGGCTGTTTTTATGGGGTGATGAAGAAGTTTTGAAACTAGCTTGACCATCTAAGGTGCAACTATTGGTCACTCCTCTTGTAAAACAAAGAGTGAAGAAAATCAAAGATTCAAGGAAACACTTATTCCAAAAGACTAATGGACCACATGAACTCCAGCCTCCAAAACCCTAAGACTGAAAGAACTAGATGGGGTCTGACTACCACTACCAGCTAATATGAATGGGATGTCCTGGATAAAACAGGAAAAAAATATGAAACAAAAATCAAAATAATAAGAAGAAAACCAGGCTTATTGGTTTGTAACTCCTGAGACACCCTTTAAGCTACCCCATGGTTCAATTCTCACCCAAACAATAGACAGGCTTATAGGTGAACACCAGGGAGATAGCACTTCCTTGACCAACCAACCATAGGAGATCAAAGGGTAACATCTACCCTGGGAAAAAGTGAAGAGGACAGGAAGGGAGAGGAGAGAATGGAAACAGGAAACCCAGGGAAGACCTGTGCTGTTACATGGTGGGAATTGCAATTATGTCATGAATCAAAATATGAAGGAAATCTTGAATGGAAAACCAATTTGGTCTGCAAACTTTCACCCCAAATCACAATAAAAGGTATTTTTTAAATAAATAGCTAAAGCCTTATGTTCAAGTTTTAAAAAATACAAGTTATGAAATTAGAGAGCGACGGTAGCTGCACAAATTGTGAATACACTAAATGTAACTGAATTGTACACTTTACGCTGGTTAATTGTAGGCTGTATGAATTTCATCTCAATGGGAAAAAGAAAATTCTTTGTTAAACAAACCTGGTGTGAGGAGCAGAGATCCATCAGGAGTAAAACTAAGTCGACGAAAGAACGATTTCATGCTGTCATCATGAAACATCCGGTAGCTTCTTGCCTGTGGCATTCAACATTCAAATGTTATCCTATTCTCAAGAAAGGCTTACTAAGTCCTACGGTTTTTCTTTATGTATTGCCATCTATGCTCTGGTAGCGTAGCGGTTATGAGTTGGGCTGCTAACCTCAAAGTCAGCAGTTCGAAACTACCAGTTGTTTCGTGGGAGAAAGATGAGGTTTTCTGCTCCGGTAAAGCTTTACAGCCTCAGAAACCCTGTATAGGGTTGTTATGAGTCGGAACCAACTCCATGGCACATAACCACCACCATCACACCATTGCCATTTATTATCTAGAAAAAACTTTAAAAAAAAAAGTAAGGAAACCTATTAAAAAGCATGTACTATACAAAGATTGTAAGAGTATTCATTCATGAAAACTCATCAAACACTTGTTAGCTATATGTCTGTATCTCTGTGTTTTGTGTTTGTGTGTTTCTATCTACTTGCCTTACTGTTGTCTAAAGCTGGGAACTTCCTAGATCAGCAGTTCTCAAGCCTCATTATACCTTAGAATGATGTGAAGAGATCTTAAAAATAGTAATAATAACCCTATCTACCTCAAGCCAAATGAATCACATCCATGTTTTTTTGGGTTTTTTTAATGCTTCCCAGGAGATTCAACAACACAGACAAAGATGAAAACCACTATTCTATACCATTCACTCAGAATTCCTATTTCTGGTGGACCAGCCCACTACACTAACTGAGCCTTCATCATCTGAAATGAATCTTATTGTAATCAGGCGTCCTGTGCTTGAGGCCAGTGATCTAACTGCCAGGATACTAGCAGCTCAGGGCTTCCTAAAGTACTACAGGAATGCAAAGCCAAAGTATTTAATACCTCTCCTTCAGCCCCCACTCCAGACAGCATCTTCGAAACATTAAAAGCCACGCGTTTCTTCTGTGTGCTGTACACCCGCAACACCCTAAATAAAGAACAAAGCTAGATGTATTTACCTCTTCTAGAAAATGAATTACGTTTCACATGGAAACAATCTATTACCAAAACCAAAGACCACCTAAACAATCATCAGCTTGAAAAACCATTTATCAACGACTTCCATATTTAACTAATTATGACAAAAAGAAATTTAACAATCTAGAGGAAATAGGTCATAATTTTATTTTCTACTGAGTGTTTCAACTTCTCAAGTGAAATGTTCTTTAGGCCTGGTCTTATTTTTCAGCTCTTGGATATCTAGTCCAGTAGGAATTTATCTGAATAAATAAAAAAAATAAAAAAAATTGTGTTGAGCAAGCTAATTTTCAGGGATTTGCAAAAGTAAAGAAACCATTAACTAATGGTACATGGAGGGAATTATAATCATTGTAATGAAACAAGGTGTACGATTTGTTGAACGTCAAACTGATGAACTGGCTTGTAAACTTTCACTCAACTCACAATAAAAACTTTTTTTAAAAAGTAAGGAAAACACCAGGCAGCAAACTTGTTTGTTGATAATTTGTATTATTCCCACCACACAATCATATTAATGTCTTCCTGACTGCCTGAATAAAATGCATATATCAGAAAACAGCATTTGGAATATTACCCTCTGAAGATCCCCAGCCCACCCAATGCCACCGAGCTGATTCCAAATCAGAGTGACTCTCTATGAGGAGAACAGGACTGCTCCTTAGGTTTCCTGAGTCTATAAATCTTCATGAAGCAGGCAGTTTCATCTTTCTCCTGAGGTGACACTGGTGGGTTTGGACTGCAGTCCTTGTAGTTAACAGCCCAATGCTCAGCCTACAGTATCACCAGAGCTCCATCTGTTATAATTACAAATAGTTTAATAAAACAAAGGACCTATTAAAAAAAAAAAAAAAAAACTACACAACACTACTACAAGAAACCAAAAGAGACTTACAAAAATGGAAGACTGTACCATGCTCCTGGATAGGAAGACTTAACATTGTGAAAATGTCACTACTGCCCAAAGCAATCTACACATATACCAAATCCAGATTCCAACGACATTCTTCAAAGAGATGGAAAAAACAATTACAAACTTTATATGGAAAGAAAAAATACCCAGGATAAGCAAAACACTGCTTAAGAAGAAGAACAAGGTTGGAAGCCTCTCACTCCCTGATTTCAAAATTTACTACACGGCTACCGTGGTCAAAACAGCTTGGTACTGGTACAATGAAAGATACATTGATCAATGCAACAGAATCAAGAACCTGAAATTAACCCATCCACATACAGCCAACAGATTTTCAACAAAGTACCCAAGTATATTGCATGGGGAAGAGATGGTGCTGGCAGAACTGAAAGCGATATGCAAAACATTGAAACAAGACCTTTACCTCACCCCCTATACCAACTCAACAAAAACCAACTCAGCATGGATTAAAGACCTAAATGTGAATCCCAGAACTATAAAATAGGGACAGATGTGAGAGCTCTAATACAGGAAACACACAGACTACCAAACATTTTGAAAATAATACAAACAAAAATAGACAAAATAGATTATTTGAACATACTAAAAATTAAAAACTTATGTGCATCAAATGACTTCACCAAATGAGTAAAAAGGGAACCCAAAGAATGGGGAAAATTTTTTTGCAACAACACATCAGAAAAGGGACTTATTTCTAAAATATATAGGAAACTATACTACCACTATAAGAAAAAGACAAATAACCCAATATAAAAAATGGGCACAGGACATGAACAGACACTTCACAAAGGAGGAGACTAGGACAGCCAACAAACATATGAAGAAATGTTCACGATCACTAGCTATTAGAGAGATGTAAATTAAAACAACAAAGAGGTATCATTTCATACCAGCAATAACAGCAAAGATAAAAAAATTAGAGGACAATCAATGCTGGTGAGGATGTGAAGACTGGGACGCTCCTGCATTGCTGGTGGGATTGCAAAATGGTCCAACAATTCTGGAAAACAATATGGCGCTTCCTCAGAAGGTTGGAAATAGAAATACCTTATGATCCAGAAATTCCTATATTTGGTGTTTATCCACAAGAAATACGAGCCATAACATGAGTAGATATATGCACACCAATGTTCATAGCAGCACTATTTACAATAGCAAAAAAATGGAGACAGCCTAAGTACCCATCAATGGAAGAATATATAAACAAACTTTGGTACAACAGAATATTATGCTACCTTGAAGAATAACAAGGAAGCTGCAAGCCACCACATAACATGGATGAACCTTGAAGACATTATGCGGAGTGAAATCAGTCAGTCACAAAAGGAGAAATACTGCATAGGACCATTATTGTAAAAGATTAAGAAAAAGTGTCCACACTAAAAAATATATATATATATTTGTTGCTTACTGGGATGTATGGGGTGGTGTGAGGGGAGAGAGGGGAAGGTGGAGCACAGGGTAGGGAATAGACACAGGATAGTTTGGGTGCTGCAGAGGTGAAGGACAATACACTAGTAGGGGGAGGAGAAAGGAAGAACAAAGCAGATGGGAGAACAGTTAAGCAGGTTTGCATGGGCTAAGTGAGATAGAGGTAAGCAATGATGTATGCACAACCTTGAAACAACAGGGCTCTGGAATACAAGGATGGAAGCATGGTTTGAATGGGTAAAAGAGGGGAAATAATGTTAAGATGCTTGGCTGTCTGTTGAATCTTGGTTTCCCTTGCCTACTACTGTAAAATAGACACTTGACGGGGAGAGAAAGGAATAGCGAGAAACACCACCATAGAAAGCTTGTAAGTCCGTCTTCAGCCTATAACTGATTGCTATTGTTGTTGTTATTGTTGTTAAGTACCATGGAGTCGGTTCTAACTCATAGTGACCCTGCACAGGGTTTCTGAGGCTGTTCATCGGAACAGAAAGCCTCATCTTTTTCCCACAGAACTGGTAGTTTCGAACTGCCAACCTTGAGGTTAGCAGCCCGATTTGTAAACACTATGCTACCAGCGCCCCTTTGGAATACCTAAAATGGGGCTAGAACTTGCCCAGTGAAGAAGGCCTCCTACAGAGCCTTTGCATTGCATAAGACCATAGGTAGAATCCTGATCCCCATCCAGAATCTTCTGAGGTAGGAAATTTCCACTTGAAAAACAAGCAGACCAGCCTGGGGCAGCTAGAAGAACAGAAGATACTTCTTAGAAGAAAAACCGGCAGGAAAAATCAAAAACAATAACCACAGTCAGATTGACTACTACAAAAACAAGCAAATTGTTCGCCCGGGAGCCATCAAGGCAAGTAGTCAGGTCACCTCAGAGCAAACTCCCTCTTCCAAGACTAAAACACAAGGGAAATACACAAGCAGGCATGTGGTCTTATTGCTGACCACGTTGGTCTCCGATAAGGGGAAGTGGGGGAAAAACAATAATGAAATTGTGAGCCAAGTCCAACCACATTCAACATTTAACCTGGATTGAGATCTGGTTGGCCAGCAGTATGACTAGACCTGAGGACTCTCCTGGGCCCAGCGACAGAGACATGGTCACTGAGGACTAGAGAGGACAATGAAGTGTCCAGCTGATATGAAGTGAGGGGAGATGCACAAGAACACCCTACTTGCAGATAGTATCCACATGACCTGGCTTTCAATGGCTGGATGATGAGAGTTTAACTAGAGGAAGAAAGAAGAGGAAAAAAAGAGTAATCTACAATTTTATGAGCTTGACCTATGCTTGTGGACGCAGTAGGTCAAAGGGGGGAACAAATCTTTACAGTGAGGATCATTCCCATCCCCTTGGTACACAGGATCGAGAAGGATGGGCAACTTAGACATTGGCTGACCAAAAATGGGGGCGCTACAGAAGCGTGGTGTGGTGCTATGGTCTAATGCGTCAGAATGCAAAGTCATTTGAACTACAAGGTCGGCGGTTCAAACTCACCAGCTGCTCCTTGGAAACCCTATACAGGGTCGCTATGGGTTGGAATCGACTCGACGGCACTAAACAACAACAGTAGCATAGTGGTTACGAATTGGGCTGCTAATCTCATGGTCAGCAGTTCGAAACTACCAGCTGTTCTGCGGGAGAAAGATTGAGGCTTTCTGCTCCCGTAAAGATTTACAGCCTCAGAAACCCTGTACAGGGTTGCTATAAGTCAGAACCGACTCCACAGCACATAACAATAACAATAAAGGCAACAAGTGACTGGCTTACAAGCTTTCAATAGGGAACCTAGTTCCAGAGGGTGCAGGGAACGGTAGAATCTCCACTGAGTGGTTTCCAACCTGTCTGGATAGGGCTGATGAAAGGAGATGGGATTAAACTCTAGTGGTTAAATAGTGAATAATTGCTATCAGGACTAACTGTGAGTGTTGGAAAGGTAAAGGTAGACATTTTGTAACAAAAGGAAGGGAGTGACTTTTGCAGTCTAGGAGTGGAGGTCCCTGGAACCATCAAGGGAGAAAAACGGATTGCGGGACCCTATCCAGAGAAGCAGTGATGCTAGAGATGGAGGCAGAGACAATGACGTCAAGAGACAGAGCAGCTGGGGACTCTATACTCAGGGAAGGAGAGGGCCATGTGCTGACAGCCAGGGGGCAGGATTGCAGGTTGTTTGATGATGCATGGAGGGGACTGTAATCATTGCAATGAAACAAAATTAAGATAGGATGAATGTAAAGCTAATGTTCTCCCATGTAAACTATCACATAATTCACAATAAAAACTTTTTTTAAAAAGGCAGTTTAACAAATATTCAGGAGCATTCCAACTTTAAGTAAAATGCCTGTGACCCCTGATTTTTAACTTCTTGCTCCAAGAACATTTCAATGTACTATACCAGAACACTCAGTAGGACCTTTCAGAAATAACAGCATACTTTTATATGAATTTAAATCAAGTCATTAAAAATCAATGTATCAGTAAACAAACTATAATCAACAAATAAAAGAAATAGTCCACAATATATGTGTAAAAGTTATCAAAGTTATGGGCTGGAGTCCTGGTGTGTTGTTGTGGGTTAATGTGCTGGACTGCAAGGTCAGTTTGAACCACAAGGTTGGCGGTTCAAACTCACCAGCCGCTCCTTGGTCACTATGAGTTGGAACTGACTCGACAGCACTTAACAACAAAGTTATACTTAGGGCTCCTGGTCTGTTGTTGTAGAATCAGTACTGGACTGTGAACCATAAGGTCATCAGTTCAAAACCACCAGCTGCTCCTCAGAAACCCTACACAGGGGTGCTATGAGTCAGAACCAACTTGACACACTTAACAACAATGTTATATTTAAAAACACATTTTTTTTAAAACGATTCTCCACTGAGCATCAAATGTAATTAAAGGCCTATTTGATGTAATTAAAGTGATGAAACCACTTTCTGTTTTCATGCACCCATTCAATAAAGACTTAATAGGAACTAACTTGCTAGAAGGCACTGTACCTTAATTAGTTTCCATCTTCTTCTTATGGAAGTCAAACAAAATGTTTGACTTCCATAATAAGTAAAACAAACTGTTTTATACCAAAACAAAAACAATAGAATCATAGCCAGACTATGATTTCTAGTGGTTTCGTCATGTTAAAAAATGCCTGTGCGGAAAACTTGACGCTAATACAGAGGAAGAAGACAACTAGCCATACAAATGTACCTGTCACAGCTCAGGGTAGCAACATATTGGCCCAAAGGATCCCAAGTTACGCCTTGTACATAACTTTTATGTTCATTAAAAATGGAAATCTTTTGTCCTACAAAAGAAAAAAAGCACATAACAAAACATTACCAAAAACCAACTCAAACACAATTAGTATAAACTATAACTTGACATATATCCCCTTTACACCATGCCATAAGAAGCCCTGATGGCACAATGGTTAAAACACTTGTCTACTAAACAGAAGGTCAGAGGTTCGAACCTACCAGCAGCTCTGTGGGAGAAAGCTGTGGCAGTCTATTTCCGCCAAGGTTGACAGTCTTGAAACCCTATAGGGCAGTTCTATTCTGTCCTGTAGAGTCGCCATGAGTCAGAATCAACTTGATGGCAAGGGGGTCTATTTTTTACACCGTGCCATCAAGAAGGATTCTGTGCCAAACCTTGTGTCAGGTTCTGTGGATGCAAAGATGATTTGGTGTGAATAGCACCAATGGTCACCTGGTTGGGTTGTTTAGGCCAAAAATCAACAAAGTAGCTCAAAGCTTAATGGGAGAGAGCTATAAATAAACAATTATAATATATAACATGGGAAGTACTAGAGAAGATCAGCCCAACACAGTAGGGGGCAGGGTGGACTTAAAAAGAAGATACCATCGGAAGTCAATTCAGCAGGTTTCAGGATGGAGGGAGGTAAGATCGATGGAAAGGAAGAAGAAAGATACTCTAAACAAACCCATGGGTAAAAGACAACTTCATGTTTACAAATGATATGCAATTGGGAACTGCTGAGTAAGGTGTATAGACAAGAATGACAGGATAAGGAGGAAGAAAGTTAAGTTACACAGACCCTTCTGTAAGGAAAGAAAAAGGCTCTGAGTGGATATTCAAGGAATGCTCACCTGGGAAGAGACCTGCATTTTACAAGACGACATTGAGGTTTAGAAAGAACACAAAAAAGGTTACTTGTTAGGAAGTGCAAACTCAGCTTCTGAAAGGTTGGAGGTTTGAGTCCATCCAGAGGTGCCTCTGAAGAAAGACCTGGCTGTCTACTTCTAAAAAACCAGTCACTGTAAACTCCATGGGCCACTGTTCTACTCCAATGCATATGTGGTCACCATGAGTCAGAATCCAAAGAACTTGATGGCAACTGGTTGATTAGGAGTGAGATGGGGACCTGAGCCAGAGAAACATTAATAAGGATAAAAAAGGAACTTCTAGTTGTTAAGTGCCACTGAGTCAGTTCCAACTCATAGCAACCCTGTACAGAGTTTCCAAGCAGTCCAGTGCTTATCCTATACTGCCACACCAGCAAAAGGACTATTAAGAAACCAACTGATTAGAGAGACAGTATGCTACCAAAAAAGACCATCAAGTTAACTCTAATTCATAGTAACGCTATCCAGGGTTTTCTAAGTCTATAAATCTCTAATAGAGCAGCCTCATCTTTCTCCCGTGGAGCGGCTGGTACGTTTGAACTATGGACCTTGCAGTTAGCAGCAGAATGCCTAACCTACAGTGCCACTAGAGTTCCTTTATCAAGGCTTTCTTTAAAAACAAACAAACAACAACTTCTTCTGTGAAGAAGGATGTACATTTTTCCCACTTTCTACTCGGCACTCAGCATCTGCCTTCCACCCCTGCCGCTCACTAAAACTGCCAGCCCTAAAGTCGTCAGCAACCTACTTATTCCAAACCAGCCTCACTTCCATGCCCTCTCTGTTCCATCATATGTCATGAATCCCTCATTGAAGCTCTTTCCAGGGAGTCAGCTGAGATGAAGCTGGCTGCATGTTAAGAAAAGGGCTTAGACCTGTGGCGGAGTGAAACAGCCAGTGGGGAGGGGCTGCCCCTGAGCAGTGAAAAGGGGTGGGGGACACTGACACCACCCCCAAGGCTGGTAAGGATGAATCTGTAATGGTTCGATTAAAAGGTATATTATAATACCAAACCAGGGTTGGGGTTTGTCTTGGTGGGCGAGTTGGAAGAAAAGGGGCAGGCAGGACTGACTGTGCTGCGGAGCAAGCTGGACAGGCAAAATCAGATGAGGCCAGGAAACAGGGCTCTGGGCTCAGAGCGAAGTCGAGCAGGGAGCCTGAGTAAACATGCTGAGACAAGTGGAAAATGAAGTTTGGGTGAGAGAACAGGACAATTGGTTCAAGATGACATTGAAAACCGCAGTTAAAATTATAGAGGCGTAGGATGTGGTCCTTCATTTCCATACTCCCTGCCAAACTGCTCCTCTTCCGAGTGTCCCTGATCTTAGAAAATGGTACCAATATTCACCTGGCTGGTTACACCAAAAAACAACAAACTCTGCCAACTCTTTCTTCAAATAATGGTATCTCAACTGTTCTCACCCGAAATTTCCACCCATCACTGCCACCCTAGCCCTGTCATCATCAATTCCCTCCTGAATTGCTTTAATTCCTCTAACAGGTTGCCTTGCTTTCTCTATGTCCTCCATGCTCTAATCTCCATGGAAGCCAGTGGGATCACTTTAAAACAGAAAACAAAAACACATTATTCTCCTGCTCAAAACCCTTCAGAACAATCCTGTCACACAGAATAAAATCAAAAAGCCTTTCCCTGGTCATCTTAGCCCTGTGTGCTCTGGCCCCTCACACTTCTTCAGCCTCAGCAACTGGGATGCTTGTCTCCTAAATCACTCACATGGCATGCTCCCTGATTTCATTCAGGTGTCTGTCCAAATGCCACACTCTCCAACCCCTTCACCACACTTGACCACAACCTGACAACATAACCTTTGGTTAGCTCCCTACTTGCAGCAATGCCACACACCATGAAATAAAAGGCTGTCCAGCCCTGCACCATCCCCATGATTGTTTGTGGATCAAACCATTGGTTATCCACAGGGTTTTCATTGGCTGATTTTCAGAAGTAGATCGCCAGGCCTTTCCTCCTAGTCTGTTTTAGTCTCAAAACTCTGCTAAAACCTGTTCGGCTCTACAGCAACACACAGCCTCCATTATGGTGGCAGTGCATGAAGCTCTTTAGAAACAGAAGAGAAAAAAAAAATCCTTTGACCTGAGAGGCTTGCCCTCAGTCTCCTAAAATGAAAATGAGTTCTGACCACCTATCCCAGCAAACATCACTCAGTACTCACTGATTACAATGACTTGTTAATCTTCCATGAAGATTATCATCTTCCAGGCCTCTCCTACTGATGTCTGAGATAGACCTTACTTTAGCTCACAACATTCTGACCTGAGCCCTGAAAGATGAGCTGGTTCCATGGCAAATGGGACCCATCCCTCACCCCCTGAACAACCACTTATTTCAGTTCACTAAAGAAGTTTTCCTTCTTACCTTCAAAGTTAAAGTACGTTTTGGGATACTTACTACTATTTCTTCTTCCAGTAATAAAAAAATACTTTTTATGTGTTACCTTTACTGACATCCCATATGATAGCTGTGTTATCCACAGAGGCAGAAGCCATTAAATTCCCATCAGTCGCCCAGCAAATATCGTATACATCTTCCAAGTGACCCCTAGAATCCAAATTAAAGGGGGAAAGTAATTAGTGTCTCAAAGAAGGAAACCTACCAGTACCACCACCCACTGTCACTGAATTGGTCCTCAGCCACCAACCCTACATGACAGAGAACAACTGCTCCCTTGGGCTTCTGAGACTAAATCTTCATGGGAGCAAACAGCCTCATTTTTCTTCTACAGACCAGCTGGTGAATTTGAACCACCAAACATGTGGTTAGCAGCCCAATGCTTAGCCTGCAGTTCCTTGAGGAGGGAAAGGCTATCAAAAATTGAAAGGCAAACTGCAGAGTCATGCCTTAGAATGGGATTTTAGAAATGCCCGCTGGAACTAAATTAGCTACTGTGAAGGATATTTCTTATCTTTAAAATCGATTCAGTTGTACTCAGGGAAATTTTATATCAGGAACTAAGAAAATCATTTTTTAATGCTTTGAAATTATTCCCTTTGCTTAAGTAAAGGTTTTAAATTAGATATGAACATCAAAATGCACATTCAGTTGAATGCCTTCAGATCTTAGCAATAAATCAGTCAGTCCCATGGTCTCTCATCACATCACCTCAAGGTTTTTACAACACTCCAATTCTCTTTGTTCAGCTGAGCCTCATCCTCGTCCTGAAAAGCAATCTGCTCCGGCTCCTTGTTATCATTCACCTTCCACAGCAGAATGACAGCATCTGGGGAATCAGTCATGTAGAAGACAGCCAAAGTTACTGAAAGCGCATTCATCTCCCATCCTTTAGAATACACTTTTGTTGTTCACCAGAATTTACTTCAAAGATTTGGACAGGAAAAATAGGTTTGCCTTTGCTCTTTAGAATAGAACTGCTCCATGATGGTGGTGGTGGTGGTGGTGCGGTGTGGAGTCGGTTCTAACTCATAGCGACCCTGCAGAGAGTTTCTGAATCTGTAAATCTCTACAGGGGCAGAAAGTCTTATCTTTCTCCCGCAGAACAGCTGGTAGTTTCGAACTGCTTACCTTGATTTTAGCAGCCCAACTCATAACCACTATACTACCAGAGCTCCTTAGAACTGCTCCAAAGGGTTTTTCAAGACTGGGACCTTTCAGAAGCACATCTCTAGTCCTGACTTCTGAGTGGGTTTAAACCACCAACCTTTCGACTTGTCAAGTGCTTCACCATGTGCATCACCCAGGGACTCCACCCTTTGGCACTAAATCTACAAAATCAAACTCATACCATATCAGTTTATAAAGTCACCTTAAACAGGGCACCCCTAGGCCAGCAAACCACCACTGCAAGACACCTAACTAGATTAATGAATCTAAAGGTATCCCACATAAATGGCTGAATAGGGAAAACAAAAAAACAACAAAGAACCACTGACACGAGGGTTGATAAATCATTCCTAGCTGTACAACCTTAAGCTAGTCACTTCATGTCTTAATGATGTCTGTTTCCTCAACTGTACAATGGGGCTAATAATAGTATACCTGCCTCGTGGGGCTATTGTGAAGATTAAATGAATTACTATGCTTAAGGCAAATACAACATGATGCCTGGTATGTTGACCCATGAAAATGTTCCCTATATAGCGTAGTGGTTAAGAATAGGGCTGCTAATCTCATGGTCAGCCGTTGGAAATTACCAGCCATTCTGGAGGAGAAAGATGAGGCTTTCTGCTCCAGTAAAGATTTATAGCCTCGGAAATTCTATACAGGGTCACTATGAGTTGAAATCGACTCCAAAGCAAACAACCACCACATTTATCACCCTTCAAAAACTAGCACTTGTAAAGCTTTAGAGAAGGAATGTGTTCAAAGGGGCGCTCTACTCGCACTTCCCAGTGGGGGACGAAAGGCTGGCTTCTAACAGCCTTAAAAACGCCATGGCGCAGCTGCGTATTGCGCCGCACAGCCTGACCGGAACCTTGGTTTTCCTGCGCTGTCTGAGCCCTAGAGATGGTCTCAGTGCTGCCCTTTCCCCCTCCCAATGCGAGTCAGGCCAGAATGGCAGATGATTTATCCCCTCCTCCCCTGTGGTAGCGTAGTGGTTACGAATCGGGCTGCTAATCTCACGGCCAGCTTTTGGAAACTACCAGGTGTTCCACAGGAGAAAGATGAGGCTTTCTGCTCCGGTGAAGATTTACAGCCTCAGAAACCCAGTATATAGGGTTGGTATGAGTCAAAACCGACTCTACAGCACACAACAACAGCAATATCATTATGGAGGCACCAGATACCTTCGCTCACTGCCATCAATTGTCTGAATTGTTTAACTGCCCCCAATCTCCAGTCTGACTTCACACTCACTACATAGCCTTCTTAATTTGGTTTGACTTCCCATTTAGCAATATCCACAGGAAGACCATGAATGGGCAGGTTATACGGATACATGTACGCTCAATCTAACTTGGAATTGTGGTTGCACACATTCGTCTAGTGAGCTTGGTTAAAATGTTAAAATGATTGGCCCTCATAGGTGGCAAACTTCTCAGTGGACTGACTTAAAGCAGATTTCAAGGCCAAGGACCTCTGCTAAATGAGTGCTGCCCGGTGCAACTTCACAGGAGATAGCCTGCTGGTCACACCCAAGGGATGGCCCCCTCCCCATTCTCCACCTTCCTTTCATGCTCTGGATATCATGGCGCTAAAGTCAACCAGCTCTCTTTTGATACACCTGCTGACAAAAATGTGGATTTTTAATTTTTAAAAATTGCTGGCCAGAAAGAAACTGGAGGAATCTGAGACTATGGTCCTGGACCTCCCTTCAGGTCTGGAAAGGAACTCACCCTCGTGATCCAACAGACAAGCAGTGTTGTTGTTAAGTGCCATTGAGTCAATTCTGACCTATAACGATCCAGTATAGGGTTTCCAAGGAGCAGTTGATGAGCTTGAACCACTGACTTAGCAGTTCAAACAGCTTTGCAGTCTGATGTATTAGCCCACAACGCCACACCAGGACTCCAGTCAAGCAGTAGAGATAGGTTTATAGCAGGGACAACACCACTAGCAAGGTATACTCACCTTGGAATGGTCAATCACTCAGATTCAAAAGGACAACAATTTCTAAGGACAAAGTTGAAAAGGGATAGGAAGGTAGGTGAAATGCAAATAGGAAACACAGGGAAGAAGCAGGATAACTCTTGCTGCATGGAGGGGACTATAAATATAGCTATGAAACAAAGTATACGATTTATTGAATGTAAAACTGATGATCTTGTCTGTAAACCTTTACCCAATTCACAATAAAAAGTTTTTTAAAAAATGAGATTTTTGTCCTACTTTGCACTAGCTTTTTAGACTGTTTTGGTGTTAAAATATGGTATGCTTACTTTTTCTGTTATAGTTTTATCATATTTAAGCACAAGCAAAAAATAGGAACCAAACTACTACCAGCTAAACACAATTTACAGAGGCCATTCAGAAATTTGTCCCTAAACCAATTTATTAATTAGCTCATTACACAGAAACATGGACTAGACTCTGGTCACCACAGATACTAAATTAGCAATTAAATAAGGTCAGAACATTTGCCTTGAAATTCTGACAGAACAGCAGGTCCATGGGAGCAAGTGGAAAAGGAGCCACTTCAAACAGGCCTTCTCAGCATAAGTTTGCAATCCTGCACGCTGCACTCTAACATACTCCTCAGGACATTATTTTACTGTAGGATAAGCACCGGAACGCAAGGCCGTTAGCAGTTCAAATCCACCAGCCATTCCTCGAAAACATTAACAACAACGTTGAAATGATAGATTAAGAGGGCCCAGTAGCCTCTATAATAAAAAGGCAAATTCAATTCAAATGTTACTATTTGACATAAAACATCGAGAAATTGGGCTTCTAGAGAATTCCTGAAGAACAACAGTACTCACCATCTCCTCCTGATGCTAAAATTTCCCCGTTTGGAGAAAAACGTACAACATTGACAGCTTTGGTATGACGAGCAAGATTGGACAAAAATTCAACAATGGCTTTTCCATCTGGTCCTTTTTCTACTTTCCAGATCTGTTCAAACCAAAACATTCATTCTAAGAGAAACACATACTGAGCAGTTACTATATTGAACATGCTAAAACACTAATGCTAAAAATGGCCCATTTTCAGAAAGGTACATCTAGTTTTGCTTTTTTTTTTCTTTAATGCTAAATGAAGAAGGCTCTCCTATCTGAAGATAGTCCCCATGGTCTGCTGCCCTCCATCCTACCCCTTTCTAACACAATTTCTTCCCCCAGTAGAACCTGATTCCAGACTCTAAAATAAGCGGCAGCCCATCACATCAATCTGCCACCAGCTACCAGTTGCCATTCAGTTGACTTTGATTCATGGGGACCCCATGTGTGTCAGAATAGAACTGCGCTCCACAGGGTTTTCAATAGCTGATTTTTAAGAAGTCATTTGTCAGTTCACAAAGGTGCCTCTATGTGAACTCAAACTTCCAATCTTTCAACTAACAGCTGAGTATGCGCCCCATTCCCACCACCCTGGGATTCCCACTGGAGTGGCTTTCTTGCTTTCTTGCCTCACTAGGGGCCCTGAGAATCTATTATTCTGGGCTAGATGACGATGACCTATGAGTTGGTCAACATTATGGAGAACTCTGCATCAAGTAGGGCTTCCCAGTGTTTTTTCTCTCTCTGCTCCATTTACCCTCACAGTGGTGTCCACCCCTGCGGAAGCCAGCCTGTGGATCCGCCCAGCCGTCCCATGCTGGAAGTCCAGGCTATACACGGGTTCCTTGTTGTGCCACGCTATTTCACAAGTGATGACTTTCATCCTCCTGGGTCTCGAAGGGGCAAAAAAATTCCTCAGGCAATGTTCTTTTTCCAAAATCCGGGTAATGCTGGAAAACGCTGGCAATAAATTGAATAACCATATTGCAACAGCAAACATTTAATGAGAGCTTATTGTGAACCACGGACGAGGCTAATCATTTAAAATGCATGCTACTTGAGGAAAAGATGTTAATGTTGACATCTGATAGTACAGTTACCAGGTTCGCTGAGCCATGGCTCTAAAAGTTTATGATTCTCCAACTCCAGCCGGAAAAGCAAAATGAAACACCCAGACAGAAGCAAAGCCAGGGGCCCCAGACAGCTGCGCGACCCACCCTACTCCGTGGGAGTCAGGGGGTGAGCCCTGAGAGCCAGAGGCGCAGCCGCAGAGGGAAGGGGCCAGGCCGCGGGGTGTGCGGCAGGGAGGGGACCTCTTTTCCCAAGGACTGGGCTCTTGGCTCCGGAGGCCGAGACGGAGTCTGGCGGGGTAGAGGCCACGCAGGGTCAGGCCTGGATGGGGACCGGGGGACCGAACGCTTGCCGCCCGGCTCCATCTTCGGCCCCCGCGGGCCGCCTGCCCCCCAGAGAGCGCCTCTTGCCTTCGGTTCAGCCCATTCTGCTCGAAGTACCTTGGTGACGCCGGAGCAGGCACACCAGAACCATACCTGCAAGAGCTCGGTGAGTCGGCCGCTCATCCAGCTACCGTTGCCGCGCGCTCAGCTTCCCGCGCGCCGCAGGCCCCGCCTCCGACACGCCCCGACGCAGGGCTGGCCTTCCACCGCCGAGCCCGCCGAGCGCTGGTCTGTACCCAACGTCCGCTAGATGCCGCCCCAGTCCGGCAGCAACGCCGGTTCATTGATTGGCCTACCAGGCAAAAGCATAGGTAGATAATTCATCCCTTTGCTGATTTCATCTTTTAGCACATAGTTGAGCATAGATCCTGTGTTGGCATAGCAGAAAGTGAAACAGACAGACCTACTCTCAAGGAATTTACAGTTATCATAGAGGAAAAGAAGAGCTCTCCTTCAGGATCCATGAGACTAAGCAACTGTCAGACAAAACTACCAAAATGTCCTTCGTTAACTAATGGAGCAAATATTCTAGATCAATACCTTTCACTACTAACCTAAAGAAGGATAGTTCAAAACCACCTAGAGGCACCACGAAAGACCTGGTGATCTGTTTCAGTACAAAATTACAGCCAAGAAAACCCAATGGGACAATTTCATTCTGTAATGTGGGGTCGGGATGAGTTGAAATTAACTCATTGGCAACCAAGTTTAAACCCTATATCATCCACCGAATAACTGTTGGACTGCTACCCACAAGGTCAGTGGTTCAAACACACCAGTTGCTCTGGAGGAGAATGAGGCTATCTACCCTTGCAAAGATTTACAGTCTTAGCCTATATAGGGGTTACTTTGACTCAGCACCAACTCAATGCCAGTGGGTTGGGTTTTATCAGATACCATCCTATCAATGATTCTTAATTAAAACACAGTCTCTGAGTCTCCCATAGCCATGTACACAAATCATAAGATAAAGGCAAAAGGAGAGTAAGAGGAACAATGTGCTCTTATAGTTCTGACAATGAGATTATTTTGGATTTGAAGGCTCAAAGAAAGT